CCTGGGCCTCAATCGCTGGTGGACAAGTACATCAGGGAGCTGGACTCTGACTACTCCTACATGGAAGAAGAGGATGCTCTTAGCCAAGAGCCCAATGAGATCGGCACAACGTAGGAGGAGGTTCCTTCCCAGCAGGATGGATCTCAGGAGGTTAACCTTCTAGGCTCCCAGGGCGAGCTGTCCTCCCACCTCGGAAGTAGCTGAGGCTCTCTTTCCTTCTATCTTTATATATTTTTTTTGTAAGTCTTTTGGGTAGAGCTGCAAGGTATATAAGCCTTGGCTCTGTCCTTTTTAATCAATGAAACTTCCATTTCTCCATTTCTGTCTGTTCTTTTACTACTTTTCCCTTTAAGAATCTTTTTAAACTTGCTCGTATAAGTTGGAACTTATGAAGGAACAGATCCATTTCGCACTTCTAACCCATAACTTTTGTAAGTTTAAAGGCTTGTGAGATAACTCTTTTCACATCGCACCTTTTTCCTAAGGTTTGAATTTGAGAGTCTCTTTTATTAATCTTTAATATTTCTCCTCGAACTCGGAAGTCCGAAAGAACACTAAGCAATTGAAACTTTCTACATCGCACCTTTAACTTGTACGTTCAAAGGGTTGAATTTTGTGTCCATAGTTAATATTCACATCGCACCTCGAACCCGTAGGTTTAGAGGATTGAATTTCTTAAACCTTCAACATCGCACCTTTAACTTAAGCGTTCAAAGGATTGAATTTTGGTTCGTAATTGATTTTGACATCGCACCTCGAACCCGTGGGTTTTGAGGATCGAATTTGATCAATTTTTGCCCTTACTTTGCCGATTTTAAGTCTTATAGGAGTCTGTGGCCCCCATTTAATTTCTAATCGAACTCGGAGTTATGAAATTAAATAACCTCATTTATTGAAAGTTCCGCCCCTTGAAAATTTTTACAAGCCCATTTTGGGACTATTTTGACATTTCAAGGGTAATAGCGCTTCAAGTGCTCCGCGTTCCATGGATGCGCAAGCACTCTTCCTTCTAGGTCAGCCAGCATATAAGTTCCAGGTCGGACTATGCCTTTGACTTCGAATGGTCCCTCCCAACTTGGGTCCAGGGTGCCGACATGACTCTGAATTTTTCTTAAGACTAAATGTCCAACTTGGAAGCTTCGAGGTCGAACTCGGGCATTGTAATGTCTGGCCATTCTGTTCTGATACTCTGCTAAGCGCAGCTGAGCCATTTCCTTTTTCCCTTCCAATAARTCCAGGTTAAGRAGTAGCTCTTCCTCGTTCTTTGTTGGCTCGTACTGTTCTACCCTGTTTGTTGGTATGCCGATCTCGACTGGTACAACAGCTTCGGAACCAAAGGCTAGCGAGAACGGAGTTTCACCAGTTGACTCCCTTGGGGTGGTTCGATATGACCACAGAACCTCAGGTAGCTCCCCGGCCCATCTTCCCTTTCTAGAGTCCAACCTTAGCTTGAGTCCTCGCTTTATGATCTTGTTTACTGCTTTAACTTGTCCATTCGCTTTTGGATGCGCAAGGGACGAACTGATGTGGCTTATACCAAGTTTTCTGCAAAAGTCCTTGAACTTTGCATTGTCAAATTGTTTTCCGTTGTCTGTCACGATATCATTTGGTATGCCAAAGCGGCACACACGTGACTCTGGACTCTGTGATGTGGGATAGTGCCTCGGCTTCAGCCCACTTAGTGAAGTAGTCCACAGCGACAACGGCGAACTTTGTATGTCCTTTGCCCAGAGGAAAATGTCCTATGATGTCTACCCCCCACTGCGCGAATGGCCATGGGGCCGAGATGGGGGTGAGCAGTTCGGGAGGTTGATGGATAATGTTTGCGAAACGCTGGCAGTTGTCACAAGCTTTCACGAACTGCTTTGCATCCTGCTCGACACTGGGCCAATAGTACCCTTGTCGAACCACCTTGGCCGACAACGACCTGGCGCCATAGTGGTTTCCACACACCCCTTCATGGACTTCCCTAAGAATGTAAAGGCCTTCTTCGGGAGTCACACACTTGAGGAGAGGTAGGGAGAAGCCACGTCGGTACAACATTYCTTCTCGAAGTGTGAACCGAGCTGCTCTTCGCACCATCTTCTTTTGCTCCTTCGGATCTTGCGGTGGGTTTCCTTTGATGAACTCCACGATTGGGTCCATCCAAGTAGGTGATGGAGTATTAACCTCCATTACATCTGGCTCCAAGATTGAATGAGTGTCCAAGATCTCGACCAGGACTGATCTAGCCAGGTCGGTCTCATATGCTGATGCCAATTTGGCCAAGGCATCTGCATTAGAGTTCTCAGATCTTGGAACTTGACTTACCTCGTAAGTCCCGAACTGGGCGAGGTGCGATCTGACCTTGCTCAGATATTTTTCCATCCGGGGGTCCTTCGCTTGGTACTCCTCCTTGATCTGATTTACAATTAGCTGGGAGTCACTAAAGACCTTTATGTGATTAGCCCCCAGTCCTTTGGCAACGTGCAGGCCTGCTAGGAGTGCTTCGTACTCGGCCTCATTATTTGACGTCCGAAAGTTGAACCGCAGAGCATATTTGAATCGCTCACCTCCTGGTGCGAGCAAGACGATTCCTGCCCCGCACCCCCTCTCGTTAGAAGATCCATCAACGAAGATCGTCCACGGGAGGTCGGACTTGACCAACTGAGGTGGTGGAGTGAGCTCTGCGATAAAATCGGCCACTGCTTGTTCTTTCATCGCAGTTCTGGGCTCGAACTGGATGTCGTACTCRCTCAATTCCAATGCCCACTTCATCAAACGCCCTGATGTTTCAGGCTTAAGGAAGATATTCTTCAGGGGCAAGTTTGTAAGTACTACGACTGTGCGCGCTTGGAAGTACGGCCTGAGTTTTCGGGCCGAGGTGACTAAAGCGAGGGCCAGCTTCTCCATTTGAGGATATCTGGTCTCAACCTCGGTCATGGCCTTACTGGTGTAATAAACGGGGCTTTGGCTCGCACCCTCCTGCTTGATCAGTGCCGAGCTGACGGCGCTAGCAGATACCGCCAGGTACAAATGGAGTTTTTCCCCTAGTAATGGCTTTGCGAGTAGAGGTGCCGAGCAGAGATAGTCTTTTAACTGCCCTAGCGCTTGCTCACACTCTTCCGTCCATTCAAACGGTCCCTTCTTCCTGAGAACTTTGAAGAACGGAAGACATTTGTTCGTCGATCTTGACACGAATCTATTCAAGGCTGCAATCCTGCCATTGAGGCACTGAAGCTGCTTTACAGTCTTGGGTGCCTCCATCTCGATCACGGCCTTTATCTTCTCTGGGTTAGCCTCAATCCCAGGGTTATTTACCATAAAACCAAGGAATTTTCCCGAGGAGACTCCGAAGGCGCACTTGGTCGGATTGAGCTTCATTTGGTACTTGCGTAGCACTCCAAAGGCTTCGGTCAGATCGGAAAGATGCGACTTTGACTACTTGCTCTTGACAAGCATGTCGTCTACATACACTTCCATATTCCGACCGATATGCTTGGTAAACATTTTGTTCACCATCCTTTGGTAGGTCGCACCCGCATTCTTTAGGCCAAAAGGCATCACCTTGTAGCAGTACAGACCTTGGTCTGTTATGAACGCGGTGTCATCTTGGTCTGGCAAATGCATTTTAATTTGGTTGTATCCAGAGTAGGCATCCATGAAGGTGAGTAACTCGTGCCCGGCTGTCGCGTCCACGAGCTGGTCGATCCTTGGAAGGGGGAAGCAATCTTTTGGGCATGCCTTATTTAAATTTGTGAAGTCCACGCACATCCTCCACTTCCCGTTGGATTTTTTAACTAATACAACGTTAGAGAGCCACTCAGGATACAGAATTTCTCGTATATATTCAGCTTTTAAGAGTTTGTTTTCTTCCTCAACAATTACATCACTCCTCTCTTTATTTACAGGTCTTCTTTTTTGCTTTACAGGTCGGAATGATGGGTCTATGTTGAGGCGATGCACCATGATCTTCGGGTCCATACCAGGCATGTCCTCGTGAGACCATGCGAAGACGTCCGAGTTAGACCTGAGGAAGTTGATCAGTTCTTCCCTGTCAGTGGCCCCCAGCTTGGTTCCTATGCTTACTTGTTTTTCGGGGCTAAGTAAAGGAACAAGCTCGAGCTCTTCTGTTGGCGGGGAGAACTGCCTTTTGCC